GAAGAACGAACTGGGGAGGAGGGTAGAGAAAACAGTGCAACAATGAATGAATGAGAACCCAAAATCTCTGTAAATGTTCATTAAAACTAGTAAAATTTAATAAACCCAAAAAACCCACTATTTTAATTCAAAGTATTCATCAAGTTATTGTTGTTTTTAGATTTTGACTTTACTACATCTCATAATAATTCTTTTAATCAGGAGGGAGACAGGGAAAACACAGTGTGTAAACAAATGAGGGCATAAAAATTTTCCAAATCTCCCGAGAATTAGAAACTCACATCAAAGCTGAATGAAACCTGGTCACCAGTTAAATAAATAAAATTACTTTCAGGTCCACTATAGTTAATCTTTTAAAACCAGTAAGAACGTGCTAAAACCGCTAAAGAAGAAACAGGAACTCAACACACACAGAATGAAGTGAATATATAGTATGATTCCATTTCATATACAGTCCTAGGAAATGCAAACCAATCTATGGTAACAGAAATAAGATCAGTAGGTGCCCAGATTGGGACAGAGAGAGGCAAAAAGAGGGATTGTAAATGCACATGAGGAACTATAGGAGTGGAGGACATGCTTAACATAGTTAAAGCAAAGACTAGTGGGTGGCTCTATGAAACAGAAATTTATTCCATCCCAGTTTAGAAATATAGAAGTCCAAAATTGGAACAGTAGCTCCACAAGGAGGGGTTTCTCTGTCAAATGCGGGAGAAACATCTTGTCCATTATCAATATGTATGGGCCCGGTATTCCTTGACGCGTACTCATGCTTTGGCTGCTTTTTGCCCCAGGTCTTGGTACAGAACCCAGGTGTCAAGTATGTTCTCCACTCCTGGCTGTTTTGTTGTCATTAGGATCCATTAAGTTGAATATAACTCATAACGACCCTAGGAGCAACAGATCTTAATCCTGTACTATCCTGTGCCATTTTCACAATCTGATGCCCTTACTTCATTGCCCATTTACTGTGTTAATCTACCTGGTTGAGGGTCTTCCTGTCTTGGATCCAGAGGTGCAGTGTTAGACAGCTGACCTAGGACTGCTGCCCCATTCAGCTAGAGACGGGTATACATCCAATATTTCAGGAATTTGAATGAGTAGACTTGTAATTTCAGGAGGATAGAAGAAGAATCGATGCCTTTGAGCTGTGGTGCTGGAGGAGTATAGAGGGTACCATGGACTGCTAAGAAAACAAACAGATTCATCCTGGAAAGGGTTAATCTGGGAGGCTCCTTGGAGGCAAGGATTCTGAGGCTCTGTCTGACATACTTTGGACATGTTGTAAGGAGGAACCGGTCCTTGGAGAGGGACATCATGAGTGGTAGGGTGGAGGGACAGCCCCTGAGAGGAAGGCCCTCTGAGGTGGACTGATTCAGTGACTGGGATAATAGGGATGGGTGTGTCCGAGACAGTGCGAATGGTACAGGAAAGAGCAGAGTTTAGGGCTCTTGTACATAAGGTTGCTATGAGTTGCAAGAGACTCGACGGCACATAACACAACAACAGGTATGTAATTGGAAGCTCTGAGGGAGCTTTTAAGCACTGGCCTAAAGCTGGAAGGCCTACAAATACACTTTACAAGTTGACATGACTGAGAAATTATATCCTACTGCAAAACATGAGTTGGAACCCGCTAACTTTCCTAGTAAACACCATAATCGTACGATTCTGTGAAGTGTATGCAGCTATTGCAATGGACTTCAAACCCTGGAAAACAGAAGGATTGGTGTTGGAATTAGAAGTAGGTGCAGGGTGGCAGACAGACCGCATAGGAATTACTTTTGTGTTATGGATAATCTTAATTGAGACACTTAAGCAATATGGAGTTAATCAAGGTCAGAAATAGCTGTCTGTCCCCTTGTTCTTTGTACTGCCCACATTTAACGAGTGCACTGAAAATAATTTCTTAGTGACCAGGTGTAGGGAGTAGGCTGACGATAAGCTAATCAGGCAGCTCAACTCTTTTGGGGTTTACTGTGAGAAAACCTTTTTTTTAACTTGAACCAAGAAAGGGTGAATATTTGAGACACATGAGGGAATATCTTGAGCTTATTTGAAGAAAGGGCACATCAAGTCCACTTTTAACCTACATATCAAAGAGCACACGAGCTCCCTGGTCCTCTATCAGTTGGAGCTCCGTATCATAAAGACATGCTCTGGAATCATAGTGAGAAAGAGCTGAGCTGATTGATATTCCTTTGAACAGTAACTACAGCATCTCTATTAGAAGACACTAAGGAAACATGAAGTTCACTCCAAGAGTCTACATTAACTTCCAAGTTCAAAAACAACTGTAGGTTCTTCCTTTCCACTCTATGAAAGTAGGCAGGTATAGAACAGATGTAATTCTAAAGATGATTTTAAAAGTTCAGTATTTATTACTGGACTGACATACAGACAAGGGTTAAAATAGTCTAGCTCTGGAGAGGACTTCTTTCCCAGATGGGATTTCTGATGTTCATCAGCATTTGAGCTCTTGCTGAAACATTTCCCACAGCAGTAAAATATTGACTTTCCTAATTCTCCCCATCATAGTGAATATGGTTGTGTGAAATGTGAGTAGCTTTTGTAATGGAGCCAAATCCCGGAGAGCACCAGGCCTGGTGCTGGAATTAGATGTAGCAGCATGAGGGTATGTCAGGCCCCTTGGGAAATTGATTTATGTTCTAGATACTATCCTTGGGGACATTTCCCATTGTGGAGTTACTTAAGGTCAGAAATAGCTGTCTGTCCCCAGACTGACCTAATTCTTTGCACTACACACATTTAAGGAGTGCACTGGAGACATAATCTTAGTGACCACATGTAGGAAGGAGTCTGGCTACCGGCTCAAGAGGGAGGTAAATTCTCACTTCAGGTCTTCTGTGAGAAAAGATATTTTCAGTATCAATCAACATTTCAGACACAAGTGATAACAAGGAGTGAATTTACTGAGTTTATTTGAAGAAAGGGCACATCAAGTTCACACTGTATACACATGTATAAGAAAGAGCACACATGAGCGCCTTAGTCCTCTATATCTGCTTGAGCTCTCTACTAGGATGACATGCTCTGGAATCTTCCTGATAAAGGGCTGAGCAGATGTTATTACTCAGAATCAAAATTACAGCTGTTCTGTCAGAAGCCACGAAGAGAGCATAAGTTTAATCTAAGAGCTCAACTTAAATTTCAAGTTCAACAACAACTGTAAGTTCTCCCTTTTCAATCCATAAAAACAGCTAGAGAAACAACAGGTGAAATTCTGCAGGTGATTCCAAAAGCTCAGTATTTGACACTGCAGAGACACAGATAAGGGCTAAGAGAGTCTGGCTACGAAGAGGACTTCCTCCTCAAATGGGATCTCTGATGTCTGTCAAAACATCAGCTCCTGTTGAAAATTTTCTCAAAGCAAGATGATTTATGAGGTTTATCCATTACATGGATCCTTTAATGTCTAACAAAGTTGGCCTTAGGAAATTCTTTACACAGATGGGCATATATAATATTTCTTTCCTGTGTGGACCTAGTAGTATATAAAAAGGGTTAAGCTGTGAATGAAACTTTTCTCAGAGACATTTGTAGGGTTTCTATTCTGCATGCACCTGCTACTGTCTATCAAAATCATATCCCTAATAAACTCTTTGCAAAGACAGAACACTTGCAGTGTTTCTACTTTGTGGACTACCTACTTTGTGTACCTCTCAATGAAACTCTTTTCAGAGAGGACATTTATCAGATTTCTCCCATGTGGACTCGCTAGTGCCTGTATGAGAAGGACCTGTTGCTGAACCTCTTTTCACAGAGAGGATATTTATTTGGTTTCTTGCATGTGGACTAACTGGTGTCTATTAATGCTGCCCACCTGAGTGAAACTCTTTTCACAGAGAGGGCATTTATAGGGCTTCTCTCCTGTGTGGATCTGATAGTGTACTTTAAAGTTGGCCCTCTTATTGAAACTCTTTTCACAGACAGGACACTCACAGAGTTTCTCTCCTGTGTGGACCCACTTGTGTGTATTTAAGGTGGATCTGTGGCCAAAACTCTTTTCACAGAGAGGACATTTATAGGGTTTCTCTCCTTTTTGGACCATCTGGTGTTCATTTAAGGTGGACCTGCTGCTGAACTTCAAGTCACAGAGAGGACTAATACTTGGTTTCTCTCCTGTGTGGATTTTCTCATGGTGGTGTAATCCAGAAAAGTCCCTGAAGCCTTTCCCACAGTGATCACACTTGCAAGGCTTCTCCCCAGTGCTGATTCTCAGATGCTTCACAAAGTCTGAACTCTGCAGAAATGCTTTTTTGCAAGTGGGGAACTGAAAATACATATTTCCCTTAGAAGTTCTCTGGTGAAATACAAGATCAGAATTTCTATAGAAGGTTTTCCCACATACTTTGCAGGTGAGGAGCTTCTGGGTCATCTGAAGTCTCAACTGGTCCTTCTGGGGGGCCTCTTGCTTCTGCTTGAGAAACAGCCCAGATAGACTTCCTGGGAAACAATCATACAAATACTGGTAGAACTGTTCCCCAGAAACCTTTTCCTGGGGAGAGAGTGGCTCCAGTCTCGCCTCAACTTGGAGGTGTCCCTTTGCCTTAGGGAAAGAATTTCCTTCTCCAAAACACCTTTGCTCATGCTCACCAAAGAAGTCAATCAAGGAACCCTGAGGGGGGACCTCTTCTGTGATATGACAAGGGACATCTGGAGGCTCCTGGTCCCAACAGGTTTCCAAGTTGAGGTTCTCTTGGACATTCTCTTGTCTGTCTCCTAAAAGAAGAAAGCAAATATGAAATATTGCAGTAAATTTTACACTCTGTTTCTCCTTCATTTGACAAGTAAAGAGCATTATAAAACATGAGCTCTTTTTACCAAGAAGCCATTAAGATGGTAAAAACTATCTTCCATACTAACGGCCTGGCACTAAATTCAGGTGCCTGCATTCCAAATCGAGTTTCCCACTCCTGAGAGAAGAAAATTTTGGAGCAACAAATCAGGGCCCTTTGGAACTTTACTGGCCCCTCCACAACAAAATAGCAGAGCTTTATTAAGAGGCAGAGAAGGAAAACTATATAATTAAATATACTGTTTTTGTTCTTAATAAATGATTGGTCTATTTGTTTACATATTAAAGAGAAATACCATTAATCAATTTTTGAAGAGGCATATAGACATGCAAAAGAAAATAAAAATGACCCTCAATCACATCCTAAGGAAAAACTATTAGTAACATTTGCTTCAAGTTTTTTCTTCAGAAGACTACAACTGGTCTTTCCTCCCACAGTACTGGAGATTTTTCAAAATGCAGTTCTTTGTCAAGCTAGAATCAAAAGAAAGTAAATATGCCAGTCATTTTTTAGTTCCATAGACATTTTCCCATTTACATATAAACAATTGCTGTGTTTCCCATTTTACCATAGGGAAGTTTTGTTATCGTGAAGCTGTTGCAGAAAAGTGAATACTCCGGGTTGTGGTCTAATCCTGCTTCCATATCTATTATTAACCCCCAGAAAACATTAAACTTATTTTTATCCTAATTCTGATTTTGGTTAGTATCACTATATACTTTGGTTAGTATCACAATATACACTTTCTATTTCTGCGTTGGCAATAGAAAACCTTGTCAGACTTTTGTCCATTCTGTTACTCCCAGACATCTAAAGAAGTTATTGACCTATCTCTTCCACATATTAGGGTCTTTCAAGGATAACATTAAGAACTGATCTTTAACTTGCTAAAGCAAACATTTCTTTAAAATGGTAAAGCTGTTTTGTCTTACCTTAAAAGAGTATTTATAAATATTCTTCTCTAAGTATTAATCATTCATCAAGGAAATGCACTACATATAACTGTGTACGAATTCTCTAATTATAGGAAATTCAATTCATCTGTTTTTACAAGCATAAATAATGGTACATTTCTTCATCAGTCTTTCTCTGCCATTTCTGATAAATACCTTAAAAAAGGTTCCTACCAGTGGTATGACTGTGTCCTCACACTTGCATGCTCAGGAGACCAATTACCAATTCTGCACTTTACTGCAATGCACAATGCTCTATGTGTGTTAGAGTTAACTGCACTCCACAGACTTTTCCATGGCTGAGTTCTTCACAGGTAGATACCTAGGCATTTTTCAGAGGCTTCAAGATCCATGTACTTGAGGTCAGCCAATTTCTGTAACAACTGTTCCATCTATGTTTACTATAAAAAGTATTGGATATTTTAAATTCAAATATTTGTGATCTGGTTAGTTGAAAGCTTACTTTTCATTGTTTTATATTGTAATTACTTAAGTATTCAATAAAAATACTGTTCACTTTTCATGCTTAAAATTTTCTTTCAATTTTTCTTTAAGTAATTTTTAAGCAAGACTCTTTGCATATTAAATATAAATAAGTGATGATCTGTAAGATTCATACAAAGCTCATCAGTTTCTGTAAGTTTTAGGTTATGTTTTATATGCAGAGAAGCTTAGAATTTATTTTTCATTTGTTCTTGTTGTTATGCACCATTCAGTCATTTGTGACTCTTAGTGACCATAGTATAATAGCTGGGACCTATCTTTAAACAAACTCATTCTAGCCTATAAACCTACCCCCATCACCGAACCAATGATCTCCCCAAAAAGTCTTCCTCTCCTCAACCCCTAGAAAAATTATATCCTTCTCCAAGGGCTTATTCCTTCCAGCAATACACCGAAAGAAAGTATGTGAGAAATCAAAGAAAAATGAAGTTCACATACATTATATAACATGGATCAACCCTGAAATCAGTGTGATGAGGAAAATAATTCAATCACAAAAGGATAAATATTGGATCTGAACTCACTGCCATCAAGATGGAACTGACTCATAGCTGATTCTCCAGGAAGTTTCACAGGGCGTAAATCACATGAGAAGGTATTGACGGCCTTTCTCCTGAGGAGCCACAGGTAGATTCAGGCCATCACAACTCCCTAGAGACACCACCATCAAAGCTCAAATATTACAAATCTCACTAATATGAGCAATCAGTGTTGTTGTTCGACACTGTCAAGTTGCATACGACACATAGCACCCTGTGAACAACAGATTCATCCTGACCTATCACGTGCCATCCTTATCATCTTAAATACATTGTGGGAGGCACAATATCAAACCACATTGTTAAGAGTCTGTCTTCTTCTCTCTTGTTGACAACCCACCTTTCCAATGTGATATTCTTTTCCAAAAAAATACTTCTCCTAGTAACATGTCCAAAGATGAAGACAAATCCTCACCACCATAGCTTAAAAGGAGCATTCTGGTTGCACTTTTCCCAAGATACAGATCTTTGCTTCTTGGGCAGTCCAAGGACTATTCAGTGGTAAAGAGTTCCACTTGGCACTCAAAGGCATTTGGATTGATAAAATGTTATTGTTGTTGTGTACCATGGAGTCTGAAATGATTTATAGCTAACCCTTTTTTTTCCCTATAATTATATTTTATTAATTTTCATAAACATTTACAGAGATTTTG